CCAGTGCCCCGGCAGCCATCCACCCTTAAGCAGGAAATATTGTTTAATGCCGATGGTAATGAGCAAAGCAAATTTTGAAAATTAAACCGGAATTTGAGCATTAGCACCAGGATACTGGCAAGCTGAGTGGTGCTGCTGTCACCAGCCTGCCCTCTGAGTAAGGGGCCCACTCATCCTGCTTGGCCAACAAGATGCTTCCCATGTGGCTGGGGCGGGGAGCTGCTAAGGCACAGCCCTGAAATATCCCCTTTAGGCGCTTCTCCCAGTCCTGAGGCTCCACCATGGTGCATGGGCCCTCCTCTTAGCACACAAATCCTTCCAGCTTGAGCCCCATTTCTGCCCTGACACCAGGGGCTGGAGGAGCCCAGGGGCCTTCATCTCCCTCATGGAGAGACGAGCAAGGAAGCAGGAGATTCTGGTGCCCAGATTCCCCTGTCTTTTCTTTTTTTCTTTTTGAAAGATTTATTTATTTGAAAGTCAGAGTTACACAGAGAGAGAAGGAGAGGCAGAGAGAGAGAGAGAGAGAGGTCTTCTATCCACTGATTCACTCCCCAACTGGCCACAATGGTCAGAGCTGCGCTGATCTGAAGCCAGGAGCCAGGAGCTTCTTCCAGGTCTCCCATGCGGGTACAGGGGCTCAAGGACTTGGCCTATCTTCTACTGCTTTCCCAGGCCACAGCAGAGAGCTGGATTGGAAGTGGAGCAGCCGGATCTCGAACCAGCTTCCATCTGGGATGCCGGAACTGCAGGGGGCGGCCTTACCCACTATGCCACAGCATTGGCTCCTCCCCTGTCTTTTCAAAAGCACCTGTGGCTTCCAGAAGGTGAAGTTCAAAGATTTTTGTAGGTTAAGAAACCAAAGCTTAGAGTCAGACTGGGGTCTTGGGACTGGAAGACGCACGTGTTGGTGGGAGGGGGTGCAGGTAGCTGGTAAAGCAAAGTCAGGCTTCCTTCAGGGTCCTCTTGATGCAAGACCTGGCCCTGGCAGTGACAGGTTAGGAGCAGATGAAAGTGCACAAAGGGGTCCCTTCTCCTCTCAGCCTTTGTTCAACTTCTGTGGTGGGCCTGCAGCTGTCTACATCTGTCCCCTGCACATCCTAATTCCAGCCGCCTCCTCTCAGAAGCCTGCAAGGTGTAGCTGCTTCTTCTTCCCACAGGGAGCCCCTTCTGGCTACTGGGTGTGACCACCAGACCCATCTGCTCTCTCTCCCTGGGATCCCTGGGACAGGCTCTGGAGTCCATGAAGCATAGCCTTCGGGCTCCCCATGGATCTGATCCATTGTTTTATCAGCTTGCCCCACTCCCAGCTCCCAGAAGGTTGAGTGCTGAGGAGAGACTCTGCCTGCTTCCCCAGGGGTGGGGCCTCTGAGCATAGAGCCCAGCTGCTTTCTTGGGTCCATGTAGGGACCAGTACCTACCTTCTGTCTCTCAGCCTTTCTCCCAGAACCCCAGGTGTGGCCTCACACCTGCAGGCACAGGTGCAGCAAGGGCTTTGCAATGGAGAAGCTGGGGGCACTGGGTTTAGTCTCCACCCCAGCTGTGGGCCCCACCTGGGCATCCCCCCTCTGCCCAAGCTTCCTTGTCCTCCGTGTTATCCAGAGTCCTGCCCAGCTCTGCCATGCTGGCCACTCCAGGGCAGGCACATCAGTTCTGGGGGGGGGGGGCCTGTGCAGCAGTCCCACTGGCCCTAGCTTTGGTTAGGGGCTTGTTTATTGTGGATAGCCTATCACCCCACGAGGAGGTTCCCCCCCCCCAGCAAAGAGCCTTGCATCTCTTGTTTCCTGTGGCATAAGCAGTGCTTGGAGCCAGGTCCCACACAGGGAAGGTGCTGAGATCAGGTGCTGTGTGGCTGCCAGGACGTGCTCCCCTCACTCTGCCCCTGCCCTGGAGGGCCCATGTGTGGCTTGGGGCTGGAGGGCAGCAAGGCTGCATGCGTCTCCTCCAGGTCCCTGGCATGCCCTTGCAGCCTGACTACTAATGCTTTTTCTGTCCTGGTGTAGAAAGAGAGCACAGCATGGATTTCAGCCTGAACTGGGCTCCGTGCAGAAGAGGGGTCTTCTGGCTGCTTCCCGCATCTCTGGGTTCCCCTAGGGGTCTCAGTGACCTATTACTTAGGGGCATCTCTGGTCCTTCCACTCCCTCAGTCCGGTCATAGCTGCACCTGTCTGGACACCTCAAAGGAGCAGCCCAACTGTGGGAAGCCAGGGGCTCAGGGCTGAGGCCTCCCCAAGGATGCTGAGGCCACCAGAGTGTCCCCTTTACCCAGGGATCCCAGTTAAGGCATCTGGACAGTGGCCAGGAAGGAGGAGTCTGTGCTGGTGTTGGAAGAGAGTGGACACTGGCTGGGAAAACTGAGTCACTCTTTGAGACTTTGCTAGGTTGGTATCAGATCCAAGACCTCATCCAAGTGATACTTTTTGTCATCCAAGAGAGCATGGGACAGTGCATGTGGGTAGAGGATGCCAGATGGAGGCGGGCAGAGGGGTGGGGACAAGGGGACGTCTATCTCAGCTGGTCAGAGTCTGTTCCAACCTATTGCTTCTGGAGCCTGCCTTGGCCAAGGATGTGGGTCCTCTGACTTCTCCCCTTTGTGCCCCCTGTCCCCTCACTGCAGGAGTGTCTCTCCTGGCCAGACCAGGGCAAGGCAAGGCAAACAGAGGGGGCACAGCAGCTCCATTTCCTCCTGCCCCTGAATGGAGAAGTCCAAATAATGATAATGGCCTTTGTTGTGCCTGTGTGTCTTTGGAATCCTGGCAAGCACTATGGGAGGGTGGAGCAGTTACAGAGCTGGGAGGCAAAGAAACCCGGGTATGAGCCGGTGGGCCTGGCTCAAGAGGGAGTCCACCGGTGAACTCAGCATCCTGGCAGCCCCTGGTCTGAAAGGCAAGCATTAGAATCGCTGCCATGCTGACCAAAGCCAAGTGCACACTGCATGCACACACATGAGGCAGGTGGGGCTGATCCAAGAGTACCTGGAGAAAGTGAGTGCAGTCTGGGGTCTCTGGTCCCTTGCACCCTTCCGGAAGGCAGGCGAGCTGCAGTCTCCCAGGGGCAATCCCACGTTGCTCCCAGCATGCTCAGAAAGGCCTCAAGTAGGGGGCTCGGGCCTGCAACAGAGAACCACGCAGTGAGTGAACCCAGATGGCAGGGGCCGGAAAAGGGAATTAGCAAAAAAAAAAAAAAAAAAAAAAAAACCACCACTGGCAAAAGGGTGGCTGGATGGAAAGGCGTGTGTGGATGAATTTTAATGCAATCAGAAAGCTGTCATAATGATAATAAAGGAATACATTCAGACATCAGGAGAGGCGAAGGCAGGGGCTGCGGGCCCAGCATTGAAATCAGGCTCCAGCAGGCGGAGGAGGTGCCTTCCCTTCCCTTCCTTTTTCTTTCCCAGGGAAGAAATAGAATTTTTAAGCAGGAGGGCCAGGAATCAGCAGGGGCAAGGTTGCACCTCTTAGTCTTTGTGGAAATCCTATTTAACCAGAGCCTTAAATGGGTGCTGAGGAGTGGGAGGGTGGGAGGGGGAGCGCTGGGCATCGAGGCAGAGGAAGAGACGTTCTGGCTGCTGCGCCTCAGCACAACCACCCTGCAGCTTCCTGGACTAAAGGGCCCCCACCCTTTCTTCGCCTCTGCCCTCCCTTCCTGCCCACCCTCCCCTGCTCTGGTTTCTCATTCCTCTCTCTGGCTCCAGCCACTTCCCCTCTCCCTCTTCACTTCTCCCCATCCTCTCTATTCTTTCTCCTTGGTTTCCAAGTCCCTGCTCCCAGCGTGGGAGGCCTGTCTCTGCTCCAGGATGCCGGGGCCTCGGCCAGAAGACTCATCGGCTGGGAGCAGGAATTATCTGGGGACTCTCCGGCTCCCAAGTCTGTGGGCTGTGAGCTGGGGACCTCCTTGTGGCTTGCCTGGGGGTTCTCCCAGCATGACGCTGGCTTCCACGGAGCAAACATCCCCCAAAGACAGTGCCAAGGAGGGAGCACAGATTCCACCTGCCAGTGACAGGAGTAAAAACTGCAGGCGCCTGCGAGCCCCTTCTGCAGTCATTTCCCTGCTGTTACAGATCCACGCCCCAACGCGACCTGTCACTCAGATACTCCTCGCAGGCACCAGGGGGCTGCATCACCTACAGGAACACGCTCCCCAAACTGGGTGCCCAGGGGTGAATTTTCAGCCTGAACAAATAGGAATGACCAAACCAAGGAAGGGGCAGATAGAGGTAAAAACGTGCAAGACAGAAAGAAGGTGCCCCCGGGGAGTGACCTTGAACACACAGTCTGTCGTCCTCTGTTCATTCCCTACCTGCACTGGGGGCCCACTGTGTGCCAGGCACTGCTGCTGCTGCAGAAAACCTGGTCTCTTTCCCCAGGGAGCAGACCTGTGGACGGGGTGGGGGAGGGGAGCTAGAGAGAAACCAACCCGACCACACCGTCGAAGCAGTAAATAGTTGTCCTTTGAAGTCCTGGCTGCACTAATAGGCAGCAGAGACAGAACAAAATGGAAGGTGGGACAGTGGTGAGGATGCAACATTTAAACTGAGACACGTTAGAGAAAGCTTTCGCCTTGTGGCGTGGGGTGTTCACCGGAGGGAAGAGCATATGGAGTACAAGCAAAGGGCCTGTGACAGACTTGGCACCCGAGGAAGATGCTGTCTATTTGAAAAGAGGGAGGCAGGGCACGCGGGCTGGAACCGAACACCAGGGCGCTGAGCCTCAGTGTGCGCCCGCCCTCCAGGCAGGGGGAGGCCGAGTCGCTGCCGCCTGGCTCCTGCATGCCACAGCCCCTTGCCCTCCCCTCGCCACCCCGCCCCCAAACCCCACTTCGGTCCCGGCCTCTCCCCTTCTCTCCTTCCAGCTCCGAGCCCCCTCCCAACCTTCCGCTCAGCCCTTCCCCTTCCCCTGTGGCCCTCCCCTCTCCGGCCGCGCCCTTCTCCCCCCGACCCCCGGGCCTGCCCCCCGCGCCGCCCTGCCCCCGGCCCGGGTAAGCATCTCCTAATTTTGTTCTAGAAGATAGAAAACTCTTCGTGGGCATGCTCAACAAGCAGCAGTCCGAGGACGACGTGCGCCGCCTCTTCGAGGCCTTCGGGAACATCGAGGAGTGCACGATCCTGCGCGGACCCGACGGCAACAGCAAGGGTGGGCGGAGCGGGACCGGGGCGGGGCCGGGGCGGCGGGGAGGGAGCCGGGGCCCGGGGCCCGGGGCCCGCGAGAGGCTCAAAGTCGGCCCAGGCGGGGGCGACCGAAAGGTGCTCGTACTAGAGGCCGCTCCAGGTCTCCCTGTCTCGGTGTCGCCCTGTGTCTCCAGATCCCGGGGTCTCACCCGTTCTGCTTTCGCCCGGGACTCGGCCCCTCCCGTGGGAGAGCTCGGTTCCCGGGGCGGCCGGCCGCCCTCCGGGTGCCCGGGCGAGGCTCAGCCTGTCGCGTCCCCGCAGGGTGCGCCTTTGTGAAGTACTCGTCCCACGCCGAGGCTCAGGCCGCCATCAACGCGCTCCACGGCAGCCAGACCATGCCGGTGAGTGCGCCCTCTGCGGCGGGACCGACGCGGCGCCCCCAGTCCTGCTGCCCACGTCGTGCCCGCCCTCCGGCCCCTGATGAAGAAATGCCTGATCCCTGCCCCCGGATCTCAGACCAGGGCGCTGAGGCCCGGGGGCTACCCAGGCGGGAAAGGCCGCCGCGATGGGGTTCCCGACTCTAGTGGTTGCCGGTGTTGTGCGCGCCTTGCACAGTGTCGCCCGGCGGAGGAGGCAGGGTGGGCCCTGAGGCGCTGGGGCGCGGGAGTCTCACGCGCAGCCCCGGCCGCAGGGAGCCTCGTCCAGCCTGGTGGTCAAGTTCGCCGACACCGACAAGGAGCGCACGATGCGGCGGATGCAGCAGATGGCTGGCCAGATGGGCATGTTCAACCCCATGGCGATTCCGTTCGGGGCTTACGGCGCCTATGCCCAGGCAGTAAGTGAGGGCCTGTGTGGCTGGGGATTGGAGCCCGGGGAGCGGGCACACCTACCCTGAACTAGTGTTCCCGCCCTGGGAGTGAGGAGGGGCCTGGCCTGAGGGGTTAGAAGAAGGCTCATCCAGTTGTGGTGGGGAAGGGTAGGCTGCCAGGAGGAGTGTCGTGATCCTGTTTCTTAGGGGAGGCGCTGGGGAGAAGGCTCTCGGCAAGGCAGCAAGGTGGGTGAGCTTGAGTGCCCCTCAGCCCATGGGCGGTGTTCTGGTTGTCACTTCCCTCACCCCACCCTCACTCAAGGAAGGATGTCCCCAGGCCTTCTGGCCACTCCTGGCAGGGGTCCTGGGAGATGCCCCAAAGCCCTGCCCACCCACACTTCCCCTGTAGTGCCCCAGACCTCCTTCCTCGTTGGAGTGCACTCTGCCACATCTCCCTGAGCCGCCTCCAGACCTGTGCCACAACCCTACTGTGTGAATGGCACGGAGGTTGGCCAGGATGTTGGTTCTAAGAATGCAAGCCCACCACACCCTCCTCATCAGTGCCCAGCCTTTCCTGTCCCTATGCAGCTTTGTGGCATTAACTGAGGATAGGGTAGTGGTAGTGGTGGTGGGGGGAACCTGAGGTCCCATTGTGAGTCTCCTGTCACTTGTGCCCAGCAGACTCCCGGTGAACACATTTTGAACAGATATCTAAGCTAAGTTAGTTTGACAAAGGCTGATCCAACACATCTCTAGCACTTTGGGTGTCACATCCCCATGAGTGACATGCCTCATGCAGGGACGATCAGCACCGTGGAGCCAGCCCCCTTCCCCACCCTTCTACAACACTGCCCTGCTCTAACTTTGGGATGTGGGAGGCTCTCTAAAAAGCTGTGAGGACCGGGGCAGGCAGTGGGGTTCTCTGGGGGTGGTGGCTGGGAGACTGGACTCCCTGGGGCTCAGGGCCCAGGAGTTTGGTCTCTGGGAGCTGAGCCCCGTGGCAGGGAGGGATCCCCTTTGGAAGCGCGTGATATTTTTTCCACTCCCTCTGCCCCAGCTGATGCAGCAGCAAGCGGCGCTCATGGCATCAGTCGCTCAGGGGGGCTACCTGAACCCCATGGCTGCCTTCGCTGCCGCCCAGATGCAGCAGATGGCGGCCCTCAACATGAACGGCCTGGCGGCCGCACCTATGACCCCAACCTCAGGTGAGCCAGCAAATACCAGCAACACAGGGCCTGGTCTGATGGGACGATAGCCAGGTCCAGGCTGGTCCCTAATTTTGGCCACCAGTGGACCAGGATCCTGGGCCCAAGCAGGCCTTGTTCTCTGGAAGGTTGTCTCAAAAATGTTCTAAGCACCGGGGACCCAAGGGAAGATGGTATGTGGGCCCCACACATTACATTGTGTGGTTTCAGGGTGGTGAGAATTTCACTCATGTGGCCTTGCTATATCAGGAAAGAGTTCATCCTGATCTCTATTAGCAGTAGGCATCTGGACGGAAAGTGCCATGACATCTCTCTGCAGGGAAAGAGCTTTGCCCATTCTTTGGCCTTGTTCAGAAGCTGGCCCAGGCACAGAGGAGCCCCTTTTCTCATTTCTCTCTAACCCAACCTAGACTCACTAGGTTTTCCCAAGAAAACCACACAACAAGCTAGAGGGAACCACAAGCATTATCGAAGGACAAGGTTGGAAACAACCTAGCTTACAATTCTTGATTTTGGCTGTTGTCCCACCCAGTGATTCTCAATCTGCACCGTTTGGCTTCCTCCCACCCCCAGTTTGTCTGCCAATGTCTAGAGACATCTTTATTGGTGCAGGAGAAGAATGCTGCTTAAATCTAGTGGGGGAGAGACTAGGGACTTTGCTCTATACCCTCCAATACACAGGCCAGCTTCAACAAGGGACTGTCAGGCTCTGAATGACAGAGGTATCAAAGTTGAGTAACTGGTTTATAGACCCAAGGGCTGGCCTAGCACCACCTGCTCTCCTTCACTGAGCTGTCTTGGCTGTCTGCATCCAGGACATACTGCATCCTAGCAGTAACCTTCCTGACATCCAGGGGGCTCTTCTTTCCCCCAGCTAAAAGCTGCAAAGACTGTGCCATCTCCAGGCCCAACTTGAGCATTTGCCCCACAGCTCTGATTCCCAACCTCAGAGACATTATGAGCTCAGGTGATGGACCAGCCCCAGGTCTTCATCCTCAGAGAGACTTTCCCTCAGTGTGATGCAATGCCAGAATTGGGACCTTCTACATGTGAGCAGCCAGACTTCTTCCTGGGGAGGCAGACAGCCCCTCCTGGAGCAAACAAGGATCAGTACATCCTGACTTAGCTGGGGTGAGCAAGAGTCACTGAAAAAGACTCTGAAGGAAGACAGGTGTGGTTAAAGCCAAGAGCATGGAGAATAGTGTATGTGCTGTTGGCCCAGGGGTCAGGGAAGTCTTTCTTGGGTAGGGATTTGGACTCCATATTGAAAGATGAATGTAATTGGGATGGGTGAGGCCACTCCATCTAGGGAGATAAGCCAAGGCATGGGCCACAGTTAAGGTTGAGCTGGTGTGTGAGGTCCAAGTCTGTGCCTAGGCTCTTGGAAACAGCATGGTGGTTTGTCTTCCTCACCTTTCTTCTGCTTGCCTCCCCGCCTCCATACTCTTGGAACCAGGTGGCAGCACCCCTCCGGGCATCACTGCACCAGCCGTGCCTAGCATCCCGTCCCCCATTGGGGTGAACGGCTTCACCGGCCTCCCCCCGCAGGCAAATGGGCAACCTGCTGCGGAAGCTGTGTTTGCCAATGGTATCCACCCCTACCCAGGTAAGCACATTGGGTAGCCCTTCCTTCCCCATGTGGCACACTCATCCCGTCTGTCCCAGCCTTTGCCGTTATAACAATGAACACGTGGGCTCCTGCCTCCTTTCTATTCCTTGGTGGAATCCCAAATGTGATCAAGCAGAGCCAGCTCCTTCCTCTACTTGGAGATAAGAGACCAAAACCCCACCCTTGTGAAGATGTCGATTTGATTAGTGAGAGAGAACACCATTCCAGGGGCTCCCTCAGGAAGGAAAAGAGACTGGCGGAAGTTGTGTGGCCAGATAGAGAGGATAGTAACTGTACATTAACTGAATATGAATCTTACCTATAAGAAGTAAAAGGGTAGGAACTAAAGGAATAATAAGTATAATAATAATAAGATATGTACCAGCCCAGTCCCTCAGTGCACGCAAAACTGTGGTCAGCACCTTGGACAGCTCCAGGACCGACACACAGGAAAATTAGCTTTGTTCCCCTCACATGGTAAGAGGGTGCACTTGTCTGAAGCAGTTCTCTCTCTGATCTGGAGTATGGACTGGTATCAGGGAGGGGAAGGTGGGCCTAGAGCCCTAGGGAGTAGTTAGAGGTCAGCAGAGATGAGAAGAGTGCTGCCCCGGTCCTGGAGGGCAGAGGAGGAGGAGGGTGCAGGGTCCCTGTAAGTATCAGTAAGGGCCCAATCTGCTGGAGGAGAGGAGGGTGCCAGAAAGAGGGCACGGCATAGGGCTGTCCCCTGTACAGTATGATGAGACAGGCAGAATGAAGTTATCAAGAGTGAGTGTTCTCAGACTTGAGACGCTAAAGGATTGAAATGAAGCCAGAGCTCTCTAGCCTGAAGAAGCCCCAAAGAGGCTGCTGGAGGAGGAGGCTCAGGACTTTAACAGATGGGCAGAACTGGAGAGGTAAGAAGGAGCAAGGAGCACACTCCTGTGGGACAGGGTGGGCTTTCCTGGACACTAACAGGCAGGAGGGAGCTTGTCTGGCAGGGGCAAGGATGGTAAGGAGTTTGTCCCCAAGAGGGCAGAGAAGGCCAGCCTGAGGCAGGTCAGAAAGAGGGGCGATGTTCTGCTCTCCACTCTGAGTGCCCACTCAATTCCACTGTGAGGATGATTAAAACCACAGAAACCTAGAGATTCTAGGTTCTGTTGGGAGTGAGGCTCATACATCTGTGGTACATAAAATTCTCACTAGTAGAGGTCAAGGTCACTGCACTGGAAGGAAATAGAGGAGTTTCCTGACTGAATGTGGAGCTGTCCTTAACCCCACTCCAGTGCAGTGCACAGAAAAGGGGGCAGAACAGTCCAGAGAGTGAAGTAGGACCCAGAAGACCCGCAGTGTTTAAGGATAAAAACTCTAGTCTGGTAGGGGTGGCAGGGAGGGGCTTTGCAAGTTGGAGGTGGAAGCGACCCCACCAATCTCAGGCTTGTGGGCTGGGAGATGCCGTCCCCAGCACATCTGGGCGTCTCCATACTGCGCTCCCTCCCTGCCTCCAGTCCCATCTGGATCTCAGGATCCTGACAAACCTGTTCCTTCCCCACCCGCACCAGCATCTGTGAGCCTTTTCCATTATGGAATGTGGAACTGTTTCTTTCCCCATTTGTAACAATCTGCCACATCCCATAAACAATTCCCTGCCAGAGCAGGAGGGAGGGATGGAGGGAAGGAAAGGCAAAAAGTAGTGCATTAAAAAAATTAATTTACCAGCTTTAGATGCAGAGTTTGGAGCCCGCTGTAATGAGCGAGATCCTTCAAAATGCTCACTCTTTGGCAGTTACTAATGAGGTCGTTAGGCAGAGAAGTGGAAAGGGTCCCACTACTGCTCTTCTCCATTTCCTAGCCCCAGGTAGCTTCTGTCTTCCCCCCTCACTCTTCAAGAGCATCTTGGAAGCATACAGTATGGCCTTGACTGCCACCTAACACCCTTGAAGGGACGGCTCTCACAGGCCTTAGTTGCGCTACTGACTTCTGACCATGTTCTTGGCATTGTGCTGGGGACTGGGGCTGGCTACCTTGGAAGTTGTACAAGTTGTGCTTTGTGTGAGGGCACCAAACTGTGCCATGAGGAGGGGGCACCCTTTACTAATTAGCACAAAGCCACCGTATAGGGAGCAACTAGGAAGGCCAGGAGGAGGAGCCTCCCTTCCTGAGGACTTAGAGGCTGGCAGGCAGACAAGACTGGCAGAGGGAGCAGGAGGCAGGAAGAGGCCTCGCCACCAAGCATGCCAGTGCTGGCATCACATGGCTGCAGTCTGCTCCATGGGGCAGATGTGGGATTGGACCAGGAGGGCTCCAGGCAGGAAGCAGCCTGCCTCCTGACCCGTCTTTAGCTCTTCCTTTCTGCACAGAGCCCCTGTGGGCCCAGCTCCCCTGCTGCATCCCAGGTCCTAGGAGCTATTGGATCTGCCATCCTGCTGTCTCTGGGGACCTCAGCCCTAGGCTTTTCCCTAGGCTCCCCTGAGATCCAGTGCTATTTTTCTAATGGAATTTTACTGAGAAACTCAGGACAAGAGCTCAGAAGGGAAGTTTTGGAATTCTCCCCAGTCTGAAGGCCCCAAAGCCTGGCTCACCTGAATCCACAGGCAGAGGAGCCCAGATGGTTTTCTGGATGCTGCCTGTGTTTCCCGGTTTGTCCCTCAAACATCTTGGGCATCTTCCCTCTGGAAGAGCATCTGTCTCCTCCCACCTCCCTGGCCTCCAGGGCCAGCCCACTCCCACGTCACTCCTCCTCAGCCTTGCTCACCAAAGTCCTGCTCACAGCTCCTGCAGAGACAGCAAAGGTGGTAGAGGCGAGCCAAGTCTTTGCCTCAGGCCAGCTGCCCCAAGCTTTTTGCCAGTGTCAGTTCAAGGGTCCTCTCCTGGCACTGTGCAGTAGACATCCTAGAACCCCAGGATAAGCAGAGGAGAAAGGTCCTGGGTTCTCCAGTTCCTCAGTTTTTGTGGGCAGCACCCTTCTCCCAACCCATGGGCAGCCCTCCTCTGTGAGGCCAGTGCCTGTTGGAAGCCCCTCAGCCATGGCCCAGGAGTGGAAGACCTACGGAGAACAGACCCAGGCCTCCCCTGCAGGCCAGTGTCCTTTCTTCTACGCAGCTGGGATCTTCCAGGTTGTCCCTTACTCACTGCTCGAGCCTTGTGCTAAGGGTTGGCAAGGAGGAGCCCACCCTCCCAATAACGGTTTCCAGCACCACCCTCCTCAAAAGCTCTTCTCCAGGGTCGGACCCTCCCCCCACTGCCACTGTGTGTCTGCACCAAGTCGCTGATGGCTAAGCCCTTCTGGCATCTCCCTAGCACCCCACAGACTTGCACCTGAATCCCACAGTTCATATCCTCAGCCCAGCTACAGCCTGCATCCTCCAGCCAGGGTGGGCAACTCTCTACCCTGCTAAGCAACCTGGGCTGAGGACGGGGGTACCCCACAGGGCCCAGGCACTCAGAGCTGCTGTTTCAGATGCCATACCCCAGGGCAGAGCTTACTGACCGATGGGATGGGCTGTGCGGCCACTGCATTGTCCCCACGGGCGTGGTGGGGGAGAGGCCGGTTTGGGAAGACACTGCTGACCTCTGCCCCCTTGGTTCTCCTGCAGCACAGAGCCCTACCGCCGCGGACCCCCTGCAGCAGGCCTACGCCGGAGTGCAGCAGTATGCAGGTCGTTAGTATCCACGCGTCCCCTCAGCTCTTCCACGTCTACATTCATCTCGCCATGCCCGGGGCAGAGGGGCCCACACACCTCTTTTCCCCTTTGTCCCCGCCCTCCCCAAAACCAGACCTGGGCTCAGCACTGTGAGGGGTGAGGGAGGGAGTGGCAGGGTGCCCTGGTCTCGATGGGTGGGCAGAGCTTGGTATGAGATAGCCAGTCAACTCCCCACTCGCTGCCAGGAGCACCAAGCCACACTCCACAGTCCCTGGCCCAGGAAGCACAGATGCCTGAGTTTGAAAGAAGGGGCTCTGGAGGGGGGAGTGGTGCCCATGGCCCACCGGCCTCGCTGTAACAGGCAGCAAGAGAAGAGCTTGAGCAGATACAGGTAGGGGACAGGGAGGAGAGGTGAGAAGAGACAGCCCTGGGGCCAGCAGATAGCCTGGGCTCACTGGGCCCAGCCAAGCTACCAGCGAAGCTTCTCCATGCTCCACCCCTGGGCTGAGCAACGCACCACTGACCCTTCTGCCAGCCTGTGTCCTATTGTCTGACCTGGCCAGCCCTTTAGGAGAGCCAGCCCCGGGGCTGCCTGGCAAGGTGGAGACTCAGTGGAAGCTAGCCTCGCTCATCAGTAGCCCGAAAGAAGCACTTCCACCTGCTGGGCCCCTGAGTTCTGATCTTGGCCCCTGCAGCCACAGAAGCCAGGCTAAGCCAAGAAGACAGCTGGCCATTCCTGTCTCACCTCTGGCTCTTTCCTTCTGAGTCCACAACACATAGGTGTGAACAGTTCAGTTCACTGACCCAGGGGATGACCATGGCAGCTCCCCAGAGGCCAAATCCACCCCTCGAGGGGAAAATCCCCACCTCCCACACAGACACCCTCTGAGTGAGAGTGAGAGGGGGCCAGCCAGAGTCAGCCACAGCTCAGAGAAGCAGGAAAACCACCTAGCAGATTCCACACCTTGGTGGTGTAGCAGGATCTTGCCCAGAGCATTTTGATTTTCTTTTTTTATCTATGATTTTGCGGTATCCATACATGTGAATGGTCCACTGTTCAGATTGCTTGCTTCTCCCAAACACACCCACACACACACACACACACTCCTGATCATCACTGTGCTGCTTCTCCCTGAGCGGCACTCAGAACTAAAGCTGGCTTTATTTTAAGTGGCTGGGCTGACACACAAGTCCTTGCCACTCTGCTTTCCCTGCTGACACTGAAATCTCTCTCTCTCTCTCTCTCTCTCTCTCTCTCTCTCTTTCTGCCTCTCATCTGTCCCTCTCGCCTCTTTTCTTTGACCTTCCAGCAGCCGCCTACCCTGCTGCCTATGGTCAGATAAGCCAGGCTTTTCCTCAGCCACCTCCGATGATCCCCCAGCAGCAGAGAGAAGGTGAGTATGTGGTCCTCCCTCCCCCTCTCCCCAAACAGGCGCTCACTTTGGCTGGGGTGTTGCATTGGCAAGGTGGCCATGTTTGCGTGTTGTTGTGGGGGTGGCAGGGTAAGGGGTGTGTCTTGTGGGCAGCTCATGCCCTACTGCAGCCAAGCCTGGGCCCCCTGGCAGGAAGTGGGATGGCGCTGGTGCCCTCAGTGAGCTGTGACCTGGGGCTGCCCTGCCCCTGTCTCCTCCAGTCTAAGCCTTCATCAGTCAGGTCAGAACCATGCAGGGTGGGGCCCAGGTGCCCCAGTGTTGCCAGTCCAGGCCCAGAGCAGAGAGTTGTGCCTGTAGGCCCTGCTGCTTCTGCCTCCCTGCTAGCTTCAGGCTGTAGTCAGCTCCCTATGGGCTCTAGAGTCTCCTTGTCTCCTTACCCTGCTGCGTGTGCGTGCACACACACACACACACACGCAGTGGCAGGCCAGTGTCGCCTGACCAACACACATGATCACATGATGGCCCCTACTGCTGGTCTGGAACTCAGGCCCCCATGACCTGCTCCCTCTTCCCAACTCTGACTCTGTACCCCCCCACCCCTCCATCTGATTCCTTCTACCTTTTCCATCTCCCAGCAGTTTCAGCTCCCCCCGACCCCAGGCCCCTAGCTGTTTCCCTTTCTCACTGGCCATGGTGCACAGGCTGGGCCCTGTCCTGACCCCTCCCCTTGAGAGCAGGGGATTGGCTAAACCACGTTGCACACGCGGGCAAGATCACAGCACAGGGAGTGGGTGGTAGGGAAGGCTGCGGTGGGCCTGGAAGAGAGATGAGGAGGCAGACATGCCAGGCTGGGGGTGGGGGGAGGGAGCAGCAGGAGCACAGCGTGGATACTGTGAGCTGGGGTGCAGGCAAGCTGCGGGGCGTGGGAGCCCTGCCAAAGCTGGGTGCCACGGAGCTGCGTGAGGCCCAGACGAGAAAGGCTGCATCCCTCCAGCCTGCCCGTAGTCGGTCTCCGTGTGATGCCACTGGTGTATCAGGAGATGCTGGTTGCTGCGGAGGGCCCTCCTGCCAGCTCCTTGTCTCTGAGCTGAGCTTGGAAAGCAACAGTGCCCAACCCCCCCAGAGGCCCTTGGCCCCACAGCCTGGAGGAAGCCGCCCGCAGGGATGGCTGCAGCACGGCCTTGCCAGCAACTCTGCCTTCCCATTTCTCACATCCCTAAAGAGCTGCCCATCCAGGCATCTGGATGGTCTCACTTCTGTGAATGCAGGAACGGGCGCAGGAAGGGCCCGGGGTGGCCAGATTCAGGCTGGGACTGGAGAATGTTCCTGGGGCTCAGCCTCACGCCCTACAGATGGGGCCCAGGCTGTGAAGGTGCCTTGTCCCTTTGAGGAAAGCAGCCATGACATCCTCAGGAAGCAGCTTGCAGAACCTGAACTTGGGAGAGAGGGCCCCAAGTCAGGCAGGTGTCAGTCTGAGGGGGTGCTGTCTGAGGAGCCCAGAAGAGAAAGGGTTGGAGGAGGCAGGGGGTGCATGCTTGGCCAGAGGACAGGGGGGACAGATGCCCCTGTGCCCAGGGGGTGGCCAGTTTGGCTGGAGAGGAAACCTGCAAGAGAGGAGAAAGAGCCATGGCTGGGAGGCATTGAGGGGCGCAGTCACAGGGCATGGTTGGAGGACACGGGGTTGGGGGAGGGCCACCTGAGCTGGAGTGGGCAGGAGAGCACACTCACACCTGGTCCTGAAGGTGCTGTCCTCTGGCAGAGTGCTGGGAGACAGTGGAGACAGAAGGGTGGGGTGCAGGGTGGGGACCAGGGACCAAGGAGGGCAATGGATGCCTTCGGTGGTCAGGGGAGTCTTTGCTGTGGGCTGTGGGCCTCGAGGGTTGAGGATGGATGGATGGAGGCAGGAGGAGAAGATGAGAGGAGGAAGAAGACACGGGGCAGAGTCCACAGCCAGCTCTGCTCCAGAACTGGGTCATGAGGCAGCCTCGCTGGTCCTATAGAACCAGGACTGTTGGCTGTGGCTGTGAAAGCTGCCCAGTGGTCTCCTGTCAGTGCCTTTCAGCCTTCACTTTCAAGTTCACGCTCAGGTTTCCACCAGCCTCCCATCAGGTCCCTGGCAGCCACCCAGCTGGGCAGTGTTTCCATCACTGGAATGGCTACAGCCACTTTATACATGACAGGCACTAGTTAAGGCAGCAGCAAATAGACTGCATCTTGGGAAGTTTTCCATTTTAAAGAGTTAAAATTGAGCATTTTGAACATAAGTCTTTAGCTGCCTGGCAATTTCAGAAATCCAGAGACCTCTGCAATGTTCAGGGTCCGGGGGCGGGGGAGCGGTTTGAGATCCACGGCAGGCAGGTAGAAGAGCACGCACTGTGGAGGCTGACAGCCTGGGTGGGTTCTCATCCTGCTCCCCAGCCCCTACAGCTGTGTGACTTTTGGCAGGTGACTTAACCTCTCTGGACCTCGGTGTCCGCATCTGTGAAGGGGCAGTGATGATAGTAGTTAAACTCCAGGATTGCTGTAAGGGCTACGCGTGGAAAGTGTGTCTTAGCGGAGCCTGGCGCAGTTTGCTGCAGCGGTGGCAGGTCTGTTGTGAGGAAATGGACCTTTCCTATAATGAGACTGACTAGGGTGCACCTGGCCAAATACTCACCCCTGTGGGCAGGGCAGTTGGGCCTGGGGCCTGGGGCCAGGGAGGAGGAGGGGAGGAGCATCTCCCCATGCAGTCCGGAGAGCCAGAGCCGGGAGTGAAGCTGCGACCAGCACACGAGGGGGCCGCCTCAGGGTGACTCTCTCCGCTCCTGCGAGCTGGGGCCCTCCCGCGTCTCCCCGCCCTCCCCCTCTGCAGCACCTCTTTGCCAGACCCTGTTACTGATCCGTTTTGCAGAGAAGGCCACCGTGGCACAGAGAGGTTCCGTGCGCACAGCCAGAGCAGAGCGCAGACCCGGGGCCGCCCTTGGATCTGGAATGAAACCCCCCCTCCTAACCTCGCCCCGCCCTCCCCGCTGCGCTGCCTAACTCGCTCACCTCTCCTCTGTCTCTCTCTTCCCCCACCCCGCCATCCCTCCTCCCCGCCCGCCCCCTCCCCTCACCGCAGGGCCCGAGGGCTGTAACCTGTTCATCTACCATCTGCCCCAGGAGTTTGGGGACGCTGAGCTGATGCAGATGTTCCTCCCTTTCGGTAATGTCATCTCCTCGAAAGTGTTTGTGGATCGGGCGACAAACCAAAGTAAATGCTTTGGTGGGTAAAGATAACAAACCAATCAGCTTCACCTAGGACGGGGCGGTGCTCGCAGGGCGCCAGCTGAGCCGGCGCCCCGGTGCGGTCAGCCTGCGCCTCCGCCTCGCCCCGCCCAGGTGCTCCCGACGGCCCCGCCTCCATCTCTCACCGCTCTCTTCTCTTCCGCTCTGTTCGCTTCTTGCTCTCCCTGCCCATCCCTCGGCTCCCAACTCCCACATCCCAGTCCAAGAAATGGGTTTCCGCTTCCAGCCCAAAGGCTGACAGAGGGAAGGGGTCGCTTCGGGTGGGGTGCAGAGGCAGTGAGCAGAGCCCGAATGGGGGTTTCCTCCATTCTCCCACTGGCCCCTCCTCTCAGGGCCCTGGCCTAAACCCTGGAGTCAGAGCTGAGCGGAGGGCAGTCAGCCCAGCTGAGACCCCGCCCCTGTCCGCCGATCGGAAGCCGCCTCCCTCCACCTCTCTGCCAGCCCCTCCCTGCACCCTTCTCCTCTCCCTGTCTGCCCTCCTGCTGCCGTCCGGCGACCTCTCCTCCCCTGCTGCCCTCTGAGGCTGCCAGAGCTAGGCACTGCTGAGCCAGGGAGAGGAGACGGGCCCCTCCCCCAGAAGCTAAGCTCCGAGCTCAGATGAAACACATCTGCGGCACGACAGGGAACCCTGCGAAGCACGAAGCAACAGAGGCGCGGATGTCCGCCGACTGCAGCCAGGCGGGAGGGGCCCGCAGCCAGGGGGGGATGGAGTGCACATTCAGGGGCTGGGATGCAAGATTCAAGGAACGGGGGATGAGGAGCCAGGAGGCTGTGGGGGAAGGAGGCTCTGTGCCAGGGAGGGCTTTTTCTATTCCCATGAGAACACTTCATTTGGTGGGGAAGGCTGTGGAGGATGGTGGGACCATTCAGGAAAAGTGCCCATGGCGGATGTTAGGTGGGAGGAGAAGACTTGGGCGGATCCAGGTGAATGCAGGGTGTTGAGTTAAATGTGAACTCTAGGTCCAGAATGAATACTTTTTTTAAAATACTTTTTTATTATAAGTATGTCCCAAACACTGCATGCACTATGGCACATGCAGAATTTGGGATATACTTACACTAAAAAAAAATCCTTATTGATCTGAAATTCAAATTTAACAGGGCATGCTGGTTTGTATTTGCTGAATCTGACAATTCTATCCAGAAAGCTTGAAACCTCCTGGCATCCCCTCTGCTCCTCTTTGGTCCCTCTCCCTCTTCTGCTTTCATCATCCCATTCTTCTAGGGCCAGACCACTCCGAAGTCCCTGAGGACTTAGGAGTCCAGGCCCCAAAGACCCATACATGGAACTGAGACCTGAGTCTGCCAGAAATGCAGCATCTCCAGGCTGACCCCCAGTACTGAGGACTGAGTTGTTCAGAGAACCCATGGCATGGATTGGGCATGGTGAAGGGAGAAGGTACAAGGGTGCAGAAGCATCAGGGAGTCTGTGTCAAGAGTTCCCAGTTTGGAGACCAATGTTCCAAAACTGTGAAGAGCTTGAGAACTCAAAGCAGGTTCCCCAAAGTAGTCAAGGTCTCTGTACCATTGTCCTCCCCCCTTTCCCCTACCCATGGCTGCCACGGGAAACTTGAGTTCCTTCCATGATATGGAGTGCATTGGCCTGGCAGCTCATCTTTGGGTATAGAAAAAGAAAACGACAGTTGCACCCCACCACTCCTGAACTGGTATGGCTCCTTGTGAATTAGAGCAGTGCATGGGAAACAGCAAATGGCATCAGTTACACTTGCTTTTTAAAGTCAGTCTCCAATGTGATGTAAGCACGAAGAAAAATGCTGAGAGCGCAGGAAGCGCTGGGGTATCTAGGCTAGAACAGGCTCAGTCTCCAGCCCCACGTGGTCTGGGCACACTGGCACTGTCACTGGTGCGGGTGCAAGCTGGGTTTCAAAGACATTGCCTCAGCCTGTCCAAGCACCACCTTCAGTAAGATGGTCGCCTACTTCGCTTCTCCAGGACTAGGGTTTTTCCCTGCCTTTTATAGGACTCATCCTCCGTGTACTGCCACTCTGACTCTTCTCAAATTTCTAATGCTACACATCTTCCAGCATGGAAAGAGGATGAGCTCCTGCCGTGTTGGCCCAGCCCAGCTTTTCCTCCTTAAGCCAATGGGGTTTTCTCTCTCTCACTCTGGCAGCAAAGCCTTCTGTGTCTATCCCTAAGTTTTTTTGTGGGAGACCTAACACCACCACACAAGTCACTGAGCCCTGTGATTGTCAGTGTCCTCATTTGTGAAATGGGGACTGTAACAGCTGTCCCCCAGGAATGTGTGCAGCTTCTAGCAGTGGCCTTTGGGAGGAGCTTGGCCAGAGCACTCTCAGGAAATGACAGTCCCTGTAGTACTGAAAATGTTTTGCGGGCTCATGCTATTTTTGCCGTGAAAGTAGTTTTGTGTTCACATGAAGTCCTCAAAGGCTGCACTCTCCAAGCATACACAGAATCTTCTGGAGGCTTCCCATGGGGTCTGGGAGGTGGCCTTTCCTCGGGGGAGGGAGCCCTGGGAGAAGACAGTTCTGGGGACCATGGACATGGCAGCAGGTGCATGGAGTCCTGTCCACAGAGTCCCTGGGCTGCCAGGGAGATGCCCCCCCACCCCCGTCCTGGCTCCCAGTAAACAACACTAGTGGAGGAAGAAAGGTTTCCTTGAGTCTGAAAGACTTCCCAACTCCCCAACTCCTGCCCCTCAACCCTCAGGAAACTGGCTGCTCTCCTCCCACAGAAGCACCTCTCTGCTCCCCTCACCCCCACCCCCGCCCCGTTGCTAGCCCTCCCTCCACCTCTGCTCCAGGCAGCTCCTCCAGCCCCTTTTATCTTCCATCTCCTCCCTGCTTTGCTCATATATTGTTTCCCCACAAAAAGAGCCACCAAGTCCAGATGTCAAGGTAGAGTTGGAGCCAGCAGTGCCAGTAGGCTGGGGTGGGGGTTGGGGAATGAGGAAGCAGCCTGTCACCCTCAGTCAGGCTCCCTCATCCTGGCAGGGACAGAGACTTTCGTTAGACCACCCTCAGTAACCCAGTAACCGGGGGGGGGGGGGGGGGGGAACAGCAGGATAAGCAGACACACGTGTTTAAAAACTGCCCTGGTTCTGCCAAGGACTTGAACTTTAGGCATCAGACTCTCAAGGTCTGTGCAGGAGAGGACATGGGCCAGGAGTGGAAGGGTGACTGGAGGCTAATCTCCAATATGGTTCATGCAAACTCTTTGCTGTATCGCTTTATACAAATGTTGGTTTTGTCCTTTGGGCTCTGACCGATTCCACCAGGGGTCACACTTGGAAAAATAAGAGGGAGTGCAGTCATACTCCCATGCCCATGTGATGGTGTGTAGCTGCAAACTTGAGCAAAGAAAGGAGACAAGCTAACGGAGGCAGTGCCTGGAAGTAAAGAGCCACCAGGTGTAGCTCTCTCAGAGTGGAAAGGTTGCAGACCATCCTGGGGTACCATGCATGATTAGCCAAGAAAACAGCCTCTCGTTTGCATGGAGTCTGGCTGTACATCCAGCTCTTTATTATATATCCAATGGCCATTTGGGGACAAGCATGCCAACTGAGGCATGTCCTCAGGATGCTGCAATATCTCACCAGGCAGAGTTTTCATCTGTTTCGCAGGACCTAAGTCCATTCTATGGCAGAAAGAGACTCTAAGGTTGAATAAACCCAAGGAAAATACTAGATTAAACTAAGCTGTGAAGGTTTCTTTGCCAGAGAACATGAGGCAGGATGGAGATGTTTTTGTTAGTGTGCCTTGAACCGACCTAAGGGAACCTGAGAAGCACCTGTTAGGGCTAGCTGGGGAAAAGTGGCTGGAGATGCACTCACTTTTGGAATAGGGACCATCCCCATCTGGGAACTGCTTGTTGTGGACCAGGAGCCTTGAACGTGTGAGAAAAGCACTCTGCAGTCCCGGGTACAGAGGGCTGGCTACTATTAATGATACTAAAGGTGTGAAAGTTTACTAATGTTGTAGATCTCACGAGGGGGTCACAGGCCACCCATCAATTTACTGCTGCGTGCTTACTCCAGGGAAAGGCACCTCCTTTCTTGGAAATTTGCACTCTAGGTGGGAGGTGCTTACAGTCCCTGGGTGCCAGGCGGTGGGTTAAGACGATGGGTCTGGATTTACCCCGGTGTCCCCCAAGGGACGTCTGGGGACAGCCCGGGGGTGGGCGGAGGGGCCGCGAATCCTCAGACTCTGGCCCTCTCCCCACGGCCAGCCACACTGGCAAGGGGGGGCGGTCCACGCGGCGGCGGCGAAGTTGTCTCGGTGGTGCCTCCCCTCCCGCCCCCTCGCACTGCTCTCTCTCCCCAGGCCGGCACCCAGTGCCCTCCCGCTGCCAGGCCCCCTCCTGTCAGGGAGGACAGTGTCCAATAAACTCCACCCGCAGGTGTGTCCGCCCTCTCCCACCGAGGGAGAGGGCCGAGGTGGCGGGGCCGGCCGGGGAGGGGGGCGCCCCGCCTGCGGGAGTGGGCGCCGGGCGAGTGGTGCCGCGCAGAGCCCAGGTGTGGCCTCGGTACGCGGCTGCAGGGGGGCGGGCGCGGCAAGTGGCCCCGCCGGGTTGGGGGCGGGGCCGGGGCGGGGTCCTCGAGGAGCCTCGAGTCCCGCCTCGCCTAGGCCCCGCCCTCCGCACCTCTCCCCCCTCCCCGCCGGGAGCGGCCCCGGGCGGCCCCGTGGAAACCCAGGCCCTCGTCCCTCGTGTCTCGCCAGGCTTCGTGAGCTTCGACAACCCGGCCAGCGCGCAGACCGCCATCCAGGCCATGAACGGCTTTCAGATCGGCATGAAGAGGCTCAAGGTGCAGCTGAAGCGGCCCAAAGACACCAATCGCCCGTACTGAGCGCCGGCGGGAGCGTCCCCCGGGGGAGACCAGGACTCGCACAGGTAACCGGGGGCGGCCGGGGCGCGGGCATGGGGGGCTGGGGAGGGGACTCGGACGGACCCGCCGCCTCCTCTGGTCTCCGTGGGCCGGACCGTCATTGTGCCTTGGACCCGCTGCGCCCGTTTCAACCTGCTCCTCGCCCCAGACCTTCCCGGGGCAGGTGCAGAGCTGTGGTCATCCCAGCAGAGGTGGACAGGGCCGGCCCCCTGGTGCAGGGCAACAGAGGCAGGAGAGAAGGAAACCCTTCGGGGCCGAGGCGGCCCTGGGCCTCCTGGGAAGCTCAAGGGGACGGTTCCGGGGCCAGAAGGCCCTGCAGAGAGCTGTAGCCGGCTAGGGGCTTTCTCCCAGTCTCCCAGGCAGCCCTCTCCCCTGCTCTGCCGGGAGGGCTGGCTGCCCCTAGTCCCTTCACCCTCACCCCTCCACCCCCCTACAGCGTAATCAGGAGAGGAAGGTCAGGGCTTTCCAAAGGAGCCTTCCCAGGAAACACAAGAGAGTGGGCCAGAAGCTAGGGGTGGTGGTATGGCACCAGAGCCCCACCCTGCCTGTTTCATCTGGGTCATGAGCAGGTAGCTGCCCCCTTGTCTGCTCAGGCTGAGCCTGGCCAAGCAGCAGGAGACGCCAGCCACTCCTCTTCCAGGCCATGGGTCTCCCTGGGCAAAGCAGCTTCCTGGAAGACGACCCGGCCATCAGAATTCAGTTGCCATGTGCCCTGCAGGCCCTCGGCCTCCTTCCAGGTGGGAGGTGAAGGCCCCCTTTGGGTCCTTCAGTTCAGAATGGCCATGCCCTGCATTCACTCAGCGGTACGCAGTGCGCCAGGTGCTGTGCTAGGTACTTGGGCCTCAGCGGTGAACAAGACTGAGAAGGAGGCAGTCAGTGACAGGTGATCAAAGAGCAGATTAGCAAGTGTATCAGCACTCTGGGCTACACTCAGCTAGGCAGAGTCCATCTCACAGAACATGGCAGCAGAGGCCTGAGGGGGAGGGAGGGAGCCACACCAGCACTGAGGGCACAGGCAGAGTGCAGGCCCCAGGGAGGCAGGGTGTTCAGAAGCAGTTAGAGGCCAGGGGACAGTCATGGGGGTCCCTGGTGTGGAGCCAGGAGGCCATCGTGTGGACTTTGGGGGGTTACCAGAGAGTTCTGAATAGAATAGTGGTGTGCTTAACTCTCCTCCTCTCCCTGGGATCCCTCTCTGCGGGTCACAGCCCCATGGCGAGGCAGAGGGCTGTGCACCAGCTGCTCAGGCCGGGGTCCCAGCACCGGATGTGATGTGAAGGGGGTGCAGTCTGGAATACTCTGAAAGGCCCAGCCGAGGATGCTGTTTGTAATGCATTCAGAGTGTGGCAGGGAGAGAAAGGGAAGCAAAAGCCCACCCCTGCGCGGTTAGAAGCGCAGACTGCTGGGGAGCAGGGGCGGGCAGGTGAGAGGCAGACATTCAAGTGGAGCCCTTGAGGCTGAAGTCTGGCAGGAAGTCCTCCAGTTTCCCAGTTCCCCTCCAACGCCACCCCTGCCCAGCCCATTGGGCTAGAGACCCTAGCAGAGGACCCTCCCGCTCCCAACATGTAGCAGCCCTCATGGGGAGCAGGCCCTTCTCCCTGGGGGTGGTTGAGCCCCTCTCTCCACAAGCCTGGCACAGCAAAACCAGCCCTTCTCGCTCTGCCCATTTCTAGCCTGTGTACAGGTGCAAGCACACACACTTGTTCAGTTTGGGAACCTGCTTGGGCCAGGCACTGGGCTCAGTCCTAGGGATGCAGATAAACATGGTCACCATCCCTGCCCTCATGGTCTGTGCACAGGGACACCAAACAGGAGGCAGCCAGCAAATGGGCGTGTCTCTGGAAAGCAGGAGGGGATGGACGATTCATTGAGAGCAGCTCTTTTGCGATCCAGACCACTTTTTCTTAAATAAGCATAGCTGTGCCATGAAGGCATGGCCTTGGTCAAGGTGCTTTGCCTGTCTTAGGCTTCCTTCCATTCCCTCATGGAGGAAACCAAGGTGTTGGAATGGATCAGAGGACTGGGTGGGGGGCAGGGGAGCATGCACTAGAGTCAGGCTCTGAAACTCAAGGGTCCCCGTGGGTGTGATTTTACAGTAGCTTTCCTGAAAGTGGCCTATGGAGCCACCTTGGTCCAAGGCAGGGTAGGATGCTCAGGCCCAGGCCAGAGGGAGTTGCAGGTGAAGGGGTGAGGAAGGCAGGCTAGCTGTACATGACACAAGGTGAGATGTAGCCCGCAGTAGACCCAGGGCAGGCAGAGCTGGAGCAAGTGGTTTAAAGAACGCAGTGGGTTCTTGCATTGGGGAAGGCCAAGGCCAGGAAGAATCGCAGAGCCTCACAGGCACCTCCTCTGCCCCAGGCGCTGCTCTGATAGGTAGCAGCTCCTACCTATCGGACTTGAGCACACAGCTGTGGCTTCCTGTCGAGTAGATACTGCTGGCATACCTGCTTCGCAGAAGTGGCAGGGCCAGGTTAGGTGGCTTGCCCAGCAGTGGGTGAGGGGTCCAGATGAGCTTTCAAGTCAGGGGGTCTGGTTCCCTCCCAGTGAGGAGAAAGAAAAGTCCCCTGGGCCCTACCCTACTGCAGGAATGTGCTGCATGTCAGGGGGGTCCTGTGACCACACCCACTTCTCGGGGCCTCCATCTGACTCCGCCCAGTTGCTAAGCAGTAGTGACTTCTACTAGAGAGCTGTCCTCTAGTCTTCACCTAGACAGCGTTTACCGCGTGATGCCTCCAGGCCGTCCCACCCGTGAAAGAAGAGCGCTAGGAAGAGACCAGGGCCTTCTCAAGGGAGGCCTGGGGACTGCAGGCTAGAGAGGCAGCAGCACAGGAAAGCAGCTCAAGGACTGCACCAAGCCCCAGGCCACTGGAGGTGTTGATACAGGAATCACAGAAGGGCAGGGCTGCCTGAGCAGGAGCTGAGGGGACCAGGCATAAATGAGAGCAAAGAGGTAGTGAGGTGGGGATCGTGGGACCAGGGTGGCCACCTGCAGTCCTGGGGGCCATGGCCAAGGCCAAGGCCAAAGGGAGTGGGGCAGGCCTGAGGAAGGCAAAAGACCCAGCCAGAGCTGCTTTGGGGGGTGGGGGTGCAGTGGGGTGCTGGTTCCATGCAGTGAGGCCCAGGGAGGGGTAGGATCAGAGTTGGGGTCAGTACAGCTGTCCGTTCCCATCGGATCAGATTCCTGGCTTCTCTGCTGCCCCTGCTCCTCTAGCTGCTTGAGCTCATTGTGCCAAGAGGACTTTTCCCAAGAAGTCTTTACCAGGACACTAAGAGGAAGGCACCCAAGGCAGAAGGAGAGGGCTCCAGCCAGGTCCACAGACAGTAGGCAGAACACTCCCACCCGGTCCTGCCCAACCCAGAGACTGGCCTCTGAGTTGCCTGACCTGCCCCCAGCTGGGGAGCACACACTGGGCCCCAGTGGTTCTCTGCAGAATACCAACAGCAGGCCCTCCCCTTGGGGATTCATGTCTCCCAGGGCCCTGGCTTTGGCTCTGAGGTGCTTTTGTACAGTGGCTGGACCCACCTCTGCAGGCACAAGTGATTTGGTCTGACTCGTACAGGGTCAAAAACCATGGTCCTCTCTGGCTAGAGCCTAACGCCTGGCATCAGAATTGGTGCAGCCTGGCCAAGTGAGTTGTAACTTCTGAGACCCAACCTGAGCTCCTCCGTACGGGTCTGTAGTCCTGTGGCCATGTCTAGGGCTGTGCTTGGTGAGAGGCCCTAAGAGGGTGGCTGGGAGGGCTTACCTCTGTAGTAGAGGCACAGGCGCTCCCTGAAAGAGAGAGAGTGGCCAGCTGTGCACACGCATGGCCTGGAGCCAGCTCCTTGGAGAAGGGATGCCTGTGAGGGTGGGGGACAAGACGGTGCCTGGGAAAGTTCTGGAGATAGAACTTTGAGGAGGGGGCTGCTTGCTCTTCAGGCCTGAGTCCTGGTGCCCTGGTGGAGCCTGGCCCTGACAGGCAGCTGGAGCAAAGGTGGGAGAGGGAACAGCCACAGAAGAGTGGGAAGGAGTGAATGCCTGTGAGGTGCCTGGGACTGCCGGTGTGGAGCGGGAGGAGGAGAGTCCCCAGGGTCCCTCAGGTGCAGTGGCAATAGCTGGCCAGTGCTGGCCGCCTCACACTCCCTCTTGCTGCCAACTGCACATGCTGAGTGGATTGGAAATGCAGGCAAGGGTGGCATTTCGGGAGTGGTGGGCATGTGGTGGGCCCTGATCTGAGTGAGGGAGGTCTTATGTTAGAAGACCCCAGCCTGGGTGGGCAAGGGCCAGGTCTGGAGGAAGGAGGCTCAAAGCAGTCACCACCCAGCTACTGCACATGACCCCCAGTGACACCGCGAGGGCCCAGGCCTCCCTCCCTGCCTCGCTCCCCAAAGGGAAATACAGAGCTGAGAGTGGGTCCCTGCTGGCTTGGAAACCCTGCAAGGAAAGTGAAGAAAGCCCAGACCAGAGTGCTATAGGGGAGCAGCACATGGCAAGCAAACTCATGGACAGCCATGAGGGAGGGCCAGAACTGGGAACCCACAAATCCCTGGGGGGAACCCTGAAATAGGGCTGGAGCAGACGAGTGGAGGTGAGGGAGAAGGGTGCGCCTTTTGAACCAGCAGAGCAGCAGAAGGGACAGTGGAGACAGCCTGGGGGACGGGCCTGCCCGCGAGGCTCTCTGTGGAGGGGTGCAAGGGAAGGGATGGAGCAGCAGGGGCTGGGGATGCGGGCCGCCATTCCCCTCTCTGCTGGCTCCAGCCTACAGGGCACCTACAGCCTGTGGGCCCTCAGAGGTCAGAGCGGCAGAACCTTCCAAGGGCCTCTCGTGCCCAGGAGTGGCCTCAGTCTGGCCGCCTTGAGAGTGCAGCAGGGTGAGAGTGAGCAACGGGCAGGAGGTGATGGTGCAGTGAAATGCCCAGTGCCGAGGCACCTCTGTGGGATACCACGAACATCCAAATCCTTTACTCCACGCCTCAAACCCGCACGTGCCCATTTCCCACAGTCCTAGCAAAGAGGTGTGAGCAGAGGCACAGCTGGGAAGCCTAACTTCTCATAGTGGGTGCCCTTGAGGCCTAGAAACCCCCTTCTCCAGGATGGCGGCCAAGGGGGCAGAGCCGAGATGCTGTCCCTGCCCACTGCATTGTGGCAAGGAATCCCATCGAACCAACATTCCCCTCAGCCACCCTTTCAGCTCCCCTGCTGGTCCACAGGCTGCTGCCACAGTGAGCGGGGGGAGGGGAGGCGAGCTCTGGGGGCCCCCTCAGGGGGTTGGGGGGGACAGAATGGGGTGATAGAGACAGTGTGCTCCCTGAGTTCTGCTCGCGGCCATGGTGGTGGTTTGAGGGGCTGTTTTTTGCCGGCCCCCTCGCCAAACTGCCCATGCGTCCCTCCCTCCCTCCCCCCACCGCGTGACGGGAGCCCTCGGTGGCCCCGCGTGAGGTCCTGCCACTGTGTCCGCATACACAGCCGTGTGTGTACGTGTGCGTGTGCGTGCATGTGTGTGTGTGTTGCCGTGCCCATGTCGTTTGTCTGTTGGCTTCCTTCATCCTTTGAGTTCCTTTCAGTTCCCTTATGATTTGACTGCTGTTCTCCCATCAGAGCTCTTAGATTGATGCTGTGGTCTGGTGCTGTATAAATATTTTCTTTTTAATTTTGTTTTAACTTCTTCCTTCCCCTTCTTCACCCTAAACCCGATTCTCCCTGCCTTTCCACAGCCCCTGACCGCCCCCGTCCCTGCCTCCCCCACCCACCCACACTCTTGTCCTCTCTCTCTCTCTCTCTCTACATATATAAATATATATATAAATCTTTTCTTCTTTTGTCATTCAATCAAATTCCAACAACCCAACCAGGGCCAGTCAAATCCACCACAGTCTCGCGCTGAGCTAGGAATAAAGTTCACGTAATGACATGAGAGTGGAGAAAAGTCCCCCATCCGTAAGTTCAAATCAACTCAAAGTTCACAGTGTGACATGATGGCGTCATGTAACAAGGCTAAGAATCGGTTGCATGACAATTGCCGTCAAGTTTCGTGGAGGTGCTGTGATTGGAGCGTTTTTCTTGGATGTCGTATCAGTTGATGATTGGCCAGTCATGATCACACGTGCATTTTCTTGACTTTTGTGCTGCCACAATCTTTTTTGCTGTGCTCATTTTCGTTTCGTTCTTGGTGCTTGCAGTGGTTTTACTTTCTGTTGTTTGGTTTTTCTTGTTCAGCGTTTTTTTATGCTTCTCTAGATGTCACATAGAGAAAAAAACCAAAATGAAACAACAAAAAAATAGTAAAAATAAAGATGAATTCCTGAATTATCTAACATGGGATCATTTTAACTGTGCAAACCATTATATTTTTTTCTTAAAAATAAGGAAAACATCTTAAAAATATCTATGCGTGGTTGATTTACTTGCACTTGAAAATATTGTGATTTTATTTTTTTCTAGAAATTTGGGGGCCTTTTTCAATTGACACTTTCCTGGGGCTGGTCTTTTTCCAGTTAGGCTATTTTAAATCTCACTTCAAAAGGAAAAACGAAAACCAAAAACAAAATATCTACAGTAACAGAATGATAAAAAAAAATTCTAAACCAAAAAATACAATAGAGTACAAAGCCAGAGGCCTCTGTGAGAGAGCCCAGTAACAATTGTAAGGTTTGTATTGTAGCCACTTCCGCTAAATTCGATGGGGGAAGGGGAGGCGGGGCTCTGGGGGCTGGGGGGGCTTTTTTGGTTGGTCTGGAAGAAACAGTACTGACAAAAGCAAAATGCACCTTTTTGTTTACAACTGAAAAAGGGTCCTTCACAAGTGTTTTTTAATTTTCTTATGATTTCCTTTGGTGTTGTAATTGTTTAGACCGCTGTGTACGGTTTGCTGTTTGTTGAATCAACAGTGTGAAAAACCTGCCAGCATGGATTGATATACGCATGACGTTGTCCCCTGGACCGGGGGCTTTGCAGTTCTCACTTCTCGGTGTAACCAGTCACCCCCATGTATAAGTGGAAGCTGCTTGCTAGAATGGAGATGAGTCTCATTTGTTAATTCACAACAACTCAGCATTCGCCTTCTGATTCTAGTCAGATCATGATTTTTGTTCTTAAAAGTCAAACAGAACAGCAAAAAGCCACCATTCAAAACAAAAATCAAGAACCGCCTGAGTTAATTTACTTGAGTTTGATGATTAATCTGTTCTGACCTTTTTTAGGTTCTCCCATTCACTCCCCTGAAGCTCCGAATTTCCTCTAAATTCCCTGGCATGTATGAGACAAGTATTGTGTGTGTGGATGTGCGTGTCTCTGCACGCACATACACACATATCCATGCACACCCACATATGTGCAGGTGAATATATTCTACACATATATCCAGATACACATATCTATACACAGCCTCGCAAACGCTTCTTGACCTCAGAAAAGAAGGGGCTGGCCAGAGACTGGGCGGGAATTCCGCATGATTCGAGTCCCGCAGGCCGGGAGGGGGCGGGCTGGGGGCTTAGGTTTTCCCAACCTTGTTTGCTAGGCTTCTGTATGCATATGGTATCTGGGCTAGATCCCTCAGAGCCAAGTTGAATTCTGAATTCCTATCCCGCAGTCCCAAATTCTCCCCTGAAGTCTAGCCGTGCCCCCATCCAGAGCCCCAAAGGAGCCGTCTCCCCGCAGCTAAAGCTCAGCCACAGCCGTCACCACCGGAGCCCCCAGTGGTTCCCTACTCTGAGTGGAGGAGTCGATTTCTTGCTAACGTATCATGATCATGACTAATTCTCATACTGGTCTCTCTTCCTTCCCTCCCGCCATCCCCCAGAGCTCCTATCCTCACCCCGAGGCAGGTTCCTATTGGTGTTTGGGTGCCTTTTGCGTGTTCCCTCTTGACTTAATGAGCCCTGATTTTCTTCGTTTTAGGGCAGGATGCTGAACGGGCTACACTAAAAAACAAACCTCTCTCTCTCTCTATTTATAAATGAGAACTGTTGGATGACACCTTTGACATATCAGCCAATATCAGTCAAGCTGAAGACCCCAGACACTCTGTGCGACTGTAACATTTCTTCAAGGAAAGGATAGCGTCTGTGGAGTTCAGAGGGCACGTGTTTGGGGGAACAATACCTATGCCACAAAGAAGAAGATGACGAAGAACAAGGAGAAAAACGGAACACACACAACAAGGCAACTTTCAAACAAAACCACACGCACGGGGAGGCAGAAGGGCTGGGAACTGGGAGGAGTTGCTGCTGCTTCCGACGCCACGCCGGCAGCCCTGGGCGCAGTGGCAGGCCGGGCAGGCGGGGCGGTGGGGCCCAGTCCCCAGGGGACTGAGCAGCTCTCTCTCTCTCTCTCTCTCTCTCTCTCTCTCTCTCTCTCTTTCTCTCTCTCTCTGTCATTCCTTTAGCTATTTAGGGACCAAAGGACCAAACTTTTTATCGCAGATGTGTAGCTCTATGTCAAATGGAGGGGGAGGGGCAGCCTCCTTCCTGCCTCGCCGCTGTTCCTGAAACAGCTTAGAGCGAATTCTATGAAAAATGTCATAAAAAAAATTAAAAAAAAAACTTTGAGAAAAAAATTAAAAAAAAAAACAGGAAAAATTCCGCTTCAGTGCTTTTAAAACAGCAAGACGATAGTTCTTTGATACTTTGAGAGGCGCTTTGAAGACCCTCATTGGAGTCTCTGACACTTTCCTACGGTTTTCTGTATCATATGTCTGGATGGAGCTGTGAGATGCAGCAGCCGGTGGAGATTTGGGGAAAGCCACGCGCATAGGAAAACTCGCCAATGGTGGAGTGTGAGAAAGCCAGGAGAGGACAGAGGGACCTGCCAGCCAAGGTCACTGTTGTGAAAAGTCTGTGAATGCTTCTAACTCTTCCCCCTCTTAAAATCCTAATAGTTGTACAGAATTTTAAAAAGGAAAAGTTTAAAATACCTATATAATAGAAGAAAAATTAGAGGAAAGCAAAAAATAAAAAAATAAAAAGGACAAAAAAAAAAAAACCTATAGAAGTTAGCGTTACTGCTAAAATCCCAGATGTTGTAGGCCTGTACTTTTGTAGCGTTTAGACTGAGCATCGACCCCTTCTCCCCGCGAGTGCTTTCGGACGCCGACGTCCCCGAGGGCCAGGCCGGACTCTCTCCCCAGACCCGCGGGCTCCTGGCTGCCCATCGCTGGTGGAGGCCGCGCCATGGCCGCCGAGGCCGGGAAGGGCCGCCGCCGCAGCCGCCGCCGCCGCCGCCCTCGCCTCTCGCTTCGCTCCGGGAGCCGCGCGCGCTCGCCGGCTTCCCGCAAGCCCTGGACACCTTCCGCTTCGCTCGCCTTCCATGCTCGCTGCAGAGACTTTCCGGGCAAGGGAGAAGTGGGAACTCTCATCGTCAAACTAGACAACACACACACACACAAAACCTTAACAAAGAGAGAGAAACATAAACAATCTTTGAAGAATTTCTGAAACTGTTTACAAGGAATTTTGAAAAACAGGGATGTTTAAATGATGCCGGCTCTGTTTTTCTGTAAATAAATTTGCATATTTTGTAGGACTTTTAATTGTAATGATAGAGAAAAAAACAAGGAAAACTATTTAATGAAAGCACGATATTTATCTTTGGTAAATGACTTTAGAGCAGTTAAAAGACATTGCTTAAAAAAACTCAGAATCAGAAAAAACACTGAATTATTTAAGAACACATATATTTTAAAGTAGAACATATTTATTATAATTTATTTGCACCCTTGGGAAGACTGGCGTTGACTTTCTGCCTGATGCCTTCTCGCTGTTGCCCAGTTCACCTGGAAGCCCGAGGGCTCTCCATTTTACCATCTTTTTTTTTTCCTTTACAAGAACAAAGTTCTGGCTCCTCTCGGGCCTCCTGCCTTTCCTTTCTTTCCATTTAGTTGATTTATTATTACTGTTTCTTTAGTTTTCTTTTTCTTTCTCTCGACTCCTCCTTTTAGGATGTCCAGATGTAAAAAAAAAAAAAAAAAAAAAAAAAAAAACAGCTGCAGTTCAGTACAACTGCTCTTTTCACACTCCCTAAAACTCCTTGTAACCTTCTGTAACTATTGGATGACGCTTTCTCCAGCTTAGCCCTAAATAAAGCACAGTTTAAAAAAAAAAAAAAACAACAGCAAGAAAGACACGCGTCTTCATTGGTCTGGGCTTCTCAGGTTGTACTGTGTTGTGGCCCCGTGTGCCAAATAGCGCTCGTCCTTTGGCTCCTGGACGCTGTCATACATGTGGGCTCCTTCCCCAGAGGTGGTGGGAATGAGAAATCTCCCTCGACTGGTGTGTGTGTGTGTGTGTGTGTGTCCCCTGGCAGGGATGGCCACAGTGCCTGGGCAGAACAGAGGCACCCGGCTGCTCGCAACGGAGGGAAGCTGATGGTGCCACCTGAGTTGGGTTGAGGGTGTGGCCATGAGATGCCAGGGGAGGGCCACTGTGCAGGGAGGGAAGAAGGAAGAGGACACAACCCTACATCTGCCTCTGGGCGGCTTTTTTTTTTTTTTTTAAATATTTATTTATTTATCTATTTGAAAGGCAAAGAAGGGTGGGGGGAGTCCTCCATCTGCTGGTTCATTTCCCAAGCAGCTGCATTGGCTGGAGCTGGGCAGATCCAAAGCCAGAAGCCAAGAGCTTCTTCCAGGTCTCCCACGTGGGTACAGCGGTCCAAGCATGTGGGCCATCTTCCACTGCTTTCCCAGGCCATAGCAGAGAGCTGGATCAGAAGTGGAACATCTGGGCCTTGAACTGGCACCCATATGGCATGCCAGGACTGCAGGTGGTGGCTTCACCCACTACACCACAGCTCCAGCCCCGGGGGCCTCTGGTTCTTGCTCCTGCGGCTTCCACGTCCATGCTGGGACAGTGGCTTGGAGGGAACTAGCTGAAGATTCTGCTTGCTGCCCTGGGGTTCAAGGTGCTGGTGGAAAAGGTGTATAGGAGGGGCAGCTTCCTGGGTGCCTCACTTTCACTTTCCATACTTAGACTTGAGCCAGAGGAGAGCTATCCCATCCACACCCTAAGTGGCTTCTGAATGGGGTAGGGAACAAGCCAGGACCTGGCGAAGCGGGGGTAGATCTCCCAAAATGACAGCCCAAACCCATGCATACCACATGCTTGAAACTTCTCAGGCCTGTGCACCCCTCTCTCCCTGCCCTCAGCCCCCAGCTCTGCAGCCTGGCCTAGGAAGGAGCAGACTCCCTCCATGGGTCCCCATCTCTACATGGTTAGGGGTGTGGAAGCTCAGATCCCTAGGGGACAGCAGAGGAGTTGTGGAGGTAAGGGTCTCGGTCTGCCTGCCTGTGGCCGCCTCCTTAGGAGAGTGTGGAATGGCTCCAGTCCTCATTGTCTTCTCTGAAGAGGACAGTGGCAGCCCCGGCTGCAGAGCCACACCTGGACCCCAGGTCCATCTGCTCCTCTCCTCTCTCCTTTGTCCTCTCAGCCTCATTCCTCACCCTGGCCTGCCAAGTGTCAAGCAGCAGAGACAAGGCCCCGTGGCTCAGCCAGTGGGGGCTTCAGTCAATCCTTGCATCCTAGGTGGAGATGGTACTGAGTGAGGGGGACCTGTGAGACCCTCACTGCCCCCGAAATTGACACCTTTCTCTGTCCACCATGCTGCCAGCCCAGGTGACACTCTGTCCTGCCCACCCTGGGCAGCTGGATGTCAGCCTGGGGCAGTGCCACCCTAGGAGAAGCAGACAGGTGTTTTCTAGGGAATTTTCCAGGGAGATGGGGGAGATGTACAGATTTTGGCCTCAGAGGATTCCGAACCAGGCTTTCAGATGGATGTTTGCCCTGAGAGCCGCGGGGTCTGCCTGAGGGTGCTGGTTCAGGCCCAGCTCCTGTTCTGCCCACACCCCAGGCAGCACTGGGAAGGGCCCCCCCGCTGAGCTCCCCAGACCCCTCCTGTTTCTTAGTCTCCACTTCCCCAGTCTGAACCCTTGCCTCCTTGTCTGCCTTTCTGCCCCCGAGGTGCCGTGGCTCGGAGTTGTAGGGGGCTTTGGGAATGGCCCTCAGAGAGGGGCTGTGGAGCCAACTGGTGAACTTTGCTTCTTCCAGGCCTGGTTGACTGAGAGGGGAGGTGAGAACTCTAGAGCCAGATGTGACTGTGCCAGGACTACAAAATAAGCCCGCAGTTGAAAACCCACACACCAAGTCACTAATATATGCATAGCACATTTAAGAGAGAATACAATGTATTAACCTCTGGGGGCAAAGTCAAAGCTTCTTTGAAAACTTGCTGACAACATGGAGTCACTCGCTGTGCCGGGGTCCCTGTAGCTCATCCCTCACTCCCGGGTTAAGAACTTCTGATCTGCAGTGTAAGAAAACCCAGGACCCGATTCTCATTCATTTCTGTGGTGTCTGTGGCCTCTGCTCCAGTCTCACCTGCAGTGTGTGGTTCCTTCATAGTGCTTCTGTTTTTAAAAGACCCTCTGCTTCTTATTACAAGCTTTCTATTTAAAGCATCATAACCAAAAGTAGAGACAGTGGGACATGTGTTTGGCCTAGCCGTTAAGTTGCTGCAGCCCACATTTGAGTGTCTGGATTCCATTGCTGGCTCTGGCTCCTGATTCCAGCTCCCTGTCAGTGCAGATCCTGGGAGGCAGCAGGTGATGGGGCAAATAACTGGAATCCTGCAACCCACATGGGAGACCTACACTGTGTTCCTGGCTTCTGGCTTCAGCCTGGCCCAGCTCTGTCCATTGCCGGCATTTGGAGAGTGAACCAGCAGATGGGAGTGCTGTGTGTGTGTGTGTCTCAGACTCCCAAAGTTTTTAGAAAAAGTGGAGACACTTGCATAAGGAGCCCCTGTGTGCCCACCCCTTAGCATCATCATTAACCCATCATCAGCTGCATACAGACCCCAGGTCTGCAGTCTGCTCATTGGTGGACATCTCAGCAGCGCCTCAATGCTTTCCTGCTGCTTTGCTGTCTGGAAGCCAGCTCTGCCCTGTAGGGCACCTCACACTTGCAGTGCAATGTGCCTTATCCTAGGGTGCATCTGGCTCTGGGTGCGAGGCCCTCCTCAGGGACCTTCCAGGGCCCTCCAGGCTCTTTGTCCCTGTGCATTCACAGCGCCTCTCCCTTCTCTGTGATGCTACATGAAAAGGTGAAAAGAAGCGTTTCTTGAGAGCTTTCTCTTAGGAGCTCCCATCTGCTTCTGGGTTTTGCTGAAGATCTGTTTTCTGGTCCTGAGCAGGATCCCGCCCCCTCTCTCACATGAAACTCCAGAAGAGGGAGAGAGACGTGAGGGCTGCCTACGCTGCCATCTCCCAGCACTGCTGCCTCTGGGGACAGGCTGGGTGGGGTGTGGCTGGGGGAATCTGCAGGTGCCGGGCATGTATCTGCAGGGCCTGTGCTCCCACGACACCAGGTGGAACCAGAGCATTCCCTGCCCCGTTAAGGTGAAGAAGAAGGGGCTTGGGGACCACTCGGGGGCTCAATCAGCCTAGCCCAAGGTGAGTGTTGGGCTTGACTGTGAATGCCATTTGCCTATTACCCAAAATGGAATGCGCCCGGAAACAAAGATGGCTGGCGACACTGCTCCACCCACCACCTTCTGACAGCCAGAGCGGTTCAGGCGGTGTTGATTCACTGCCTGCGTGACTGAGTGAGTCAAGGAGGGAAGGAAAAAAGACAAATTACAGACAACTGCAGGCAGATTCTGAAAGGTGGGTGTTTGGGAAATGCTTTGTAAGTAATAGTGCGTTAAGTGTGTAGCCAGCTCTGTGCCTTGGAGATGATGCAAGGATGAGCCTTTTACTTTCGCTCTGCCGCTTCCTCTCTCCTGAGGCCTCCGCTTCTCCAAGCTGCCCTCCCCTTTCCCTCCTGTTCTTGCTCCTTCTCTGGGCTCCCACACTCCCAGGAGTGCAGGATAACCCCCTCCCGCTTTTGTGGAAGAGATTGGGCATACCCAAGTGAAGACATGGACTGTGGCCAGGATTCAAATCCCCATTCTCTCTGATACCTTCTGTGTCACTGTGGAAAAGCAATGTAACCTCACCGAGACTCCATTTCCTTATCTCTAAAATGGGAATAAGAAGCGACACCCCTAAGAGATGTAAGGAGTAACTGAGACATGGCCGCACGTAGCCACATCCTACACCACGTGGCTCCCACTAGTGAATGTACCTGCTGTGCGGATCCACAGAACAGAGCCTTCATACCGCGGTCCCCTCCTCTTCCCTTTCCCTCACTCGGTTCCCTTGAGAGTTGACATCCCTCAGAGGGAAGCTTCAAGTCCAGTGCCCCCGTGATGTTCCCAGGGGGCTCCCATCCCTGGAGGGGCACCCCTCTGGCTCCCACTGCCCCTTTTTCAGCACCGCTGTTAGCCGACTCCCCTACTCGCTTTCGGCTCTCTGTGTCCCTTCTTTCGCCAAGAGCATTCCAGCTGTATTCTGGCCAATGCTGCCTGCACCCACCCTCCTCCTGGTTCATAGGGCCTCAGGCTGCATGCTGATTAGGTATTTGCATTTAAGACATTTTCCTTCTTTGCTTGCTAGGTAATGTATTCAGATATTTCAGAATTCCAAAGTAGGATAAAGGATACCGGGAGCTCTCCTCCGCCAACCCTGTGAATCTCAAGACCTCACCTGTTCCCCTCCCTAGAGGCAGATAGCATTATCATATTTTCTTGTTTAGTTTGATCTTTTTCAAAAGAATGTATTTATTTGAAAGGCACAGAGACAGAGACACAGAGAGAAATCTTCCAGGTGCTGCTTTACTCTCAAAATGTCTGCAACAGCCAAGGCTGGGTCGGGCTGAAGCCAGGAGCCCAGAACTCAATCCAGGTCTTCTATGTGGGTGGCAGGAACCCAGCTACTTTAGCAGGAAGCTGGAATCAGAAGCAGAGCCAAGACTCAAACCAAGGCACTCCGATATGGGATGTGGGCATCCCAAATGGTGTCTTAACTGCCGAGCCAAATCCCCACATCTACCCTAACCCTTCAGTGCATGGCTGGGGATTATGGGGGTGGTGCGAGGAACTGGGCTCTCATCTTCATCTTCAGTAGGGAGATGCAGAGCCAGAGGGAGACGCCCACACTCCTGCACTGGCCTGTGGGGTTCCCCAGAGAAGAGCCCAAGCCTTCTGCTGCTCAGGGCTGCTGATTCAGCAGAGGAATCAGGCTCTC